TGGACCTACCGCAGCCAGCGGAGGGGCACCTATCCTGCAGCCCCAGGTGCTGCTGTGGGGAGAGGTGGGAGGAGTCCTCGCTCCCTGCCATAGCCCCGGAGAAGCCTGCTCCCCAAACCTCTCATCCCCAGCTGGAGCCCTCATACCCCTGCACTCCAACCCTCAGCCCGAGCCCTGACCAACCCTCAGCCCGAGCCCTGAGCCCCCTCCCACACTTCAAACCCCTCCGCCCCAGCCCCACCACATGAATTTTGTTATGTGCATCAATATGGAAGTGATGTGTCACACATCACCTCCATATTGGTGCATATAACAAAATTAATTCCGCACATGATGGGAAAAATTAGAGGGAACACTGGTACTGAGTGGTAACAGCACCTGGAGGAGTTTGCTGCTTGACACCAGCAAGGCATTGTGAGAGACAACCCAGAATAGTGAGAAAAAGGGCACAGTAGTCCCAAAGTCCTAGCTTTCACCTCAGGGTTCCTATCACATATATTTATAGCCCTTTCACCTATCCTTTGTCTGTCTTGTTTATTTGGACTGTAAACTCTTTGGGTGTGTCTCCACTGCAACTGGGAGCATGCCTCCCAGCCTGGGTAGACAGAAACACCCCAGCTCTGCTTGAGCTAGCATGCTAAAAATATCAGTGGATGTTGTGGCACAGGCAGAAGATCAGACTAGCCACCCAAGTACAAGCCTACCCAACCCCCTTGGTCCAAGTTCGGGTGGCTAGCTCATGCTGCCACCTGTGCCACAACAGCCACACTGCTATTTTTAGTGCTCTAGCTTGAATAGATCTAGTGCATGTCTAACTACCTGGGCTGGGAGGCACACTGCCAGCTGTAGTGTAGACATACCCTTTGGGGCAGGGAGTGTCTGTCTAAATATGAAGCGTAAATAGCACAATACCACTTCAGTAGTCGGGGGTCACCAATGTCGTCAGATGTTTGGCTATGTGCGTGTGTTCTTTGTGTGCTGTCCTAGCTCTGCGCAGACAGTTGGCACAGCAGACCTCAATCGAACTGCCCAATGACCGCAAGACTTGGTTTAGTAGTGAAGGCGCCTGGCCAGGTTTATTGTTGACGAAGCACGGTAATAGCGCCTGACAGACTCTACGAGGCTACTAAGACATGTATGCCCGTGATAATGCACGCAGCTCAGTCAGTGGCGGGACTTTCCGCTGCCCCCAGGCTGGACGAAGGGTTAAGGCGAGGTATTCCAACATTTATAGACTGTGACAAACCATCTAGCACAAACAGCTTATGCATCACCTTATGCATTTCATGACATGTTTGTTACCTCCCCTTGTACTTTCCTCCTGATGTTTCAGACAAAACATTCCTATTTACCACCTGTCTGTGTTCTTCCACTCCTGATGGTTCAGACAAAATATCACTATTCATCACTTTTCTCAAACCATTTTATTGTGTGCTAGGTTGTGGGGTTCTTGTGCTGGCCTTTTGGAATGTGTTTACATATTCAGTGTATTTTAGCAATGCTAGCAATACTGGTGACAAGTTCCTGTATCGGACACTGGCTTGTAGGCAAGCCTCTGCTTTTGACAGGGCCTGACTGTTGCTCATAGCATAACTTCTGCTGACTTTGGTTCAGGCCTCAGGCCTTGCACCAGGCCCATGCTTCAGACTCTTTCTTTCTACTACATTGTGCTATTCTCACTTGTCCCCTAGATGCTACTGTAATAGAAATAATAAATAAAAAGACACACTATGAGGCACTGATCCTGCAAGGGGGTCCATTCCTATTGAAATGACTGAGGTACGGTCCATGCAAATGGATCTCTTTGCAGCACTGAGTTTTAAAAAGGAAAAAACTGGAAAGCAGGAAGGGGGAAAGGAAAGAAAAACTAGAATGAACAAACAACAATACAGAGTTAGTTAATTTTCTTTATTATTTTGAAATGATACAACAATATTAACATAGAATTATTTGATGCTGTATGTTTATACTCAGAGGCTGCCATTAGGAAGAAATCCTTTAATTTTACTAAGTTATTTTTTTTCCCACCATGATATCACATGCCAGAAATGGAAAACAGTGTATCAAATTACAATAAGGTAGATAAGATGATACAGTAAAAGTTTCTTGTTTAATAGCAACCATAGTATGCAATTTCACAGTAAGAAGTCCCCATACTTGCACTACATTATCATTATCATTGAAAATTCCTAACCTGGGGTAAATGTAGACCAAGTGGCAG